GAAACACTGCTCTAAGTGGTGCAGTAGCCTAGAGGTGGGGCTCTGCTGGCTGGGGAATTCTGGGAGTTGAAGTCCGGACATCTTCAAGTTGCCAAAGTTGAGAAACACTGCTCTAAGTGGTGCAGTAGCCTAGAGGTGGGGCTCTGCTGGCTGGGGAATTCTGGGAGTTGAAGTCCAGACCTCTTCAAGTTGCCAAGGTTGAGAAACACTGATTTAGAGCATACACAAGGTGTAACCTAATCCAGCTTTTGTTAAAATTGCTGTCGAGAGAAGCTCCATTGTAACCTAAAGGCGCCAACTTCATAGATAAAACTTCTAGGTGAATTGCCAAGCTTAGCATAGCAAAGTAACAACTGGATTGTGCAAAGCAACCTTGCTGGTAACTTCAAACATGTGTTCAGCTTTCCCTAACAAAGCTCTCTGCCTTATATGCCCAAAAAAGTATTATTTCTTTCCTCTTCTAAAGTCCATTGTTTTCAGTGCGCTGAGAAAAATCATGAGGTTTTGCGTAGCATGAAATAATGTTTCTAACACTATGACAATCTGTAAAACTATCAGAAGTTTGACAAAAAGGTGTTTTTTCCACGGATGATGAGGCTCACACCTGTTTTTTTTTCTCCCTCTCTACCTGCTCTGTTAAGGTGGGAGACAAAAATGCCATCAAGTCTTTTTGCTTTCTGCAGAAAATTTTTTTAAAAACCTGATTATCAGTAGCCTCCTGTTCAGAGTTTCATTGGAACGACCAGATTCTGAGCTGAATTCAAAAACCTTACATTACTGTTTATAATTGTTAACTGATTAAACCAATATTTGCTGTTGGCTTCTGCTGTGATAGACTGCTAAAAAACCATTTATTAAGGGACTAAGCTTTGTTATTTGGTTTCTGCTTATATTTTTGAGTAGGCTGTCAGAAATGAGTTGCTTTCTAATGGTAACCTTCATACCTGGATGGCGTGACTGCAAATGTTATCTCGCTGCTGTGTCTCCGCTTTCTATTCTTGGTTTCAAAGCTAGGGATGTTCTTGAAAACACAGAAGAAATTGTTACACGGGAATATCAGGGCCCCATAGATAAAGGAACCAAAGTAGGGAGTTTTCCTGGCTCATTGTAAATTGTAAATTAAATTGTAAATTTAATGAATTTATATGCCACCCAATCCCGGGCGGCTTACATAAAAACAGCTAAAAAAGAATACAAAAAGAAAGAATAAAATAGAGAGAAAGCAGGTTAAAAAAAACATCATGCACTCAATTTTAGTGGGGCTGGACCTCAGTTATGAGGTCATAAACCCATAAAGCACTTTTAGATGAATGGATTGTAATTCCCAGCGTGGCTGGCTGGGGGATTCTGGGAGTTGAAGTCCATACATCCAAAAGTCAACAAGTTTGAGAAATGCAGTACTAGAAAGTTCACTGGGAGTAGAATTAAATGCTGTTTTTTTTTAGGGAAAAGATCAGGGTGGAGAACTCCCGAGGGGGCAAATTCTCTTCCCGGGACTCTTCCAAGGAGACAAACCCCTTTCCCTTTCCGTTTTAGGAGCTCCACGCCCACTTAAATGGCTCCATCAGTGCTGCCACCATGAAGAAGCTGATGGCACAAAAAACCCATCTTCGGATCGGAGAGGAAATGGTCGTGATTGACAAGGGGTCGAAAAGGACTCTGGAAGAGTGAGTCCTACTTCAGGGGCACCTTGGAGACCACGTAGCTGGTCCTCAACTTAATGGCCACATTTGGGACGAGAAGTTCCATTCCCAAGCAAGACGGTCGTTAAGTGAGTCGTGCCGGTTTTTTTGCCACAGTTTGTTAGTCAGTGAATCACAGAGTTATTAAGACAGTGTTTCTCAACCTTGGCAACTTTAAGTCCCGTGGACTTCAACTCCCAGAATTCCCCCAGCCAGCTGGCTGGGGGATTCTGGGAGTTGAAGTCCACGGGACTTAAAGTCACCAAGGTTGAGAAACACTGTATTAAGAGAATCTAGCTTACACCCCCCCCACACACCTCCCATTTGATTTTGCTTCTCCAGGGCTGGCTGGGACGGTCACAAAAACGATCACAGGACACCACAATGCTGCAACTGTCGTAAATGCAAATCGTCCTCAACTTACGACGATCCATTTAGTGACTGTTCAAAGTTACAGCGGCAAGCGCTGAAAAAAAGTGACTTGTGGCTGTTTTTCACACTTAACGACCACTGCAGCATCCCCCAGCGTCCTGTGGTTAAAATTCAGACGCATGGCAACTGACTCGTACTTACGACGGTTACAGTGGCCCGGGGCCCTGTGGTTCCCCTTTTGCGACTTTCTGGCAGGCAAAAGTCAACGAGGAATCCGGAATTCACTTAACAACCTTGTCGTTAAGTTACCAACCGCAGTGATTCACTTAACAACAGGGTCAAGAAAGGTCTTAAAATGGAGCGAAAACTCACTTAACAACTGTCTCGGTTAACAACAGAAATATCTTGGGTCTCCATTGTGGCCATAGTTCAAAGACGGCTGTTTATATGCTGGTTGCTGTATGTTTCCCAGCTTCTGCCCGTTGCTGTGGTTCTTACACATGTTTGTCCATGCAGATGTTTCGACATGTTCCAGTTGATACACCAGATGACCAGCAGACCCGAAGACATATTAATGGTAAGGTATTTTGAACCCAGATCCCGGGTTAACCTTTGAAAAGGCCCCTTTGCTGCTCCATCATTGGCTTTGGTGGGGGAAGGTCTCTTTCGTTTGGGATAATGTTGTGTTTATTACATTGCACCCTTTGACTATCACTAAAGTGTTTGTACCTGAGGATTCTTGACAAATGTACCTTTTCATGTTTTTTATGTACACAAGAGAGCATGTGCAGCAAAGATAAATCACGCTTGGCCAATAAATTAGTCTACTCCAGTCCAGTCTATGTTCTCTATTTTATTCTATATTCTACTCTATTCTATTCTATTCTCTATATTCTATTCTATATTTTCTATTCTATTCTATTCTCTATTCTATTCTATTCTCCTATTCTATTCTATATTCTCTATATTCTCTATTCTATTCTCTGTTCTATTCTCTGTTCTATTCTCTGTTCTATTCTATTCTATTCTTCTATTCTATTCTATATTCTCTATTCTATTCTCTGTTCTATTCTATTCTATTCTCTATTCTATTCTCCTATTCTATTCTATTCTCTGTTCTATATTCTATATTCTATTCTCTTCTATTCTTCTATTCTATTCTATATTCTCTATTCTATTCTCCTATTCTATTCTATTCTATTCTATTCTCTGTTCTATTCTATATTCTCTATTCTATTCTATTCTCCTATTCTATTCTATTCTATTCTATATTCTCTATTCTATTCTATATTCTCTATTCTATTCTCT